CTCATTCTAGTTATTGTGTTATTCTGAGATGGTATCACGCTAGGTTAGGTCCCCCCTCCCCGCTTACGCTTCCGCCCCTGGCCCTAGCCCTAGCTCTAGCCCATGTCCTAGCTGTGCCCTAGCCCTAGCCGTGCCCGAGCCGCGCCCGCGACGTTTGTGCCGTCCCCGCTGTCCGAGCTCGAGCCCGCGTCGTCCATGCCGTCCGCGTCGCACTCGAGCCGTCCGCGCCGTGCCCGTGCCATCCGCGCCATCCGCGCACGCGCCGGCCCCGCCACTCCACCTCGGCCTCGCCACTTCGTGCTAGCCCTTGCCGCCACGCCGTGCAGCCGCGCTGCTGAGCCACCGAGCCGCCGCGCCTCGCCGCCGAGCCGCCATGCCACCGTGCCGCTGAGCCACCGTGCCGCCGAGCCGCCGAGCCGCCAAGACGTCGTGTCGCCGAGTCGCCGAGCCACCAAGTAGCCATGCCACCGAGCTGTCGAACCGCCACGCCGCCGTGTCGCTGTGCCGCCCCGACCCCCTGGCCCTGGTTCCCTCCTCTGTGCCGGCGCTCCTGCCGGACATCTTCACCGCCGCTCTCCACGACTCCCCACCGCTCCCTCCTCCTCCTCCTCTCGCGGCGGTCCACTGCTGCAGCCATGGCGATGGCGGACGCTGTGCTCCGCCTGGACGTGGAGGGTCGGGCGACTGACTTTGAGGCGTCGCTCGCCGACCTCCACCGCTCGCTGAGGGGACAGTGCCAGGATGGCCAGTCTCTGGCCGTCCACGTCGATGGTAAGATCCCCTGCCCTGACCGGCCCTGGTTCCCTCCTCTGGTTCCCCCTGTGGCCCCTGCTCCTCTCCCTCCCCGTCTTGCCCTGTCTGGTGTATCTCACGTCACTCCCCTTCCATCGGTTGTCCCGGTAGAGGAGTCGGCTGACTCTAGGGGCCTTGCAGCTCTGGTTTCACCGCTTGTCTCTGCCGCCGTTGCCGCCGTCACAGCCGCAGCAGCAGCCACAGTCGCTGCCACCGCAGTCTTAGCCGCTGCAGGGGTCCGCGAGCTCTGGGGGTGCGGGCCTTGAGGAGGGTGCTAGTCCTGGTGGTACTGTCGTGGCTTGTCCCAGCGGTCCTTGGGGTGGCATGACAGTTGGAGAGGGTTCTCGTTCTGGGGGTGCTGGTTCTGGGGGTGCTTGTCCTGGGGGTACGGTCGTGGCTTGTCCCAGTGGTCTTGGGGGTGGCATCGGTACTGGAGAGGGTTCTCATTCTAAGGGCGCTCACGTGGAGTGTCCCGGAGGTAGCCGTGGTGTGGTTGGAGGTTCTAGCGTCGGTGTGGAGCAGCAGCAGCAGTCGTTGCCGGTGTCTGCCCTTTGCTTCCTGGGTCTTCCCTCCCCTGATCGTCCGCCTGCGCCTCCCAAGCCGCCGCCTCCCCTGCCTATCTACGGCAATGTTCTTCCTCCGTCGGACTCGTCTCCGGCTTGTTTCCCCCCTCGTTCTCCTCCTATGTCTCCTCCCTTGTCTCCTGACCTGACCCCCCCTCCTGCCGGTGGTCTCACCGTGCCTCTCATGCGCATCCTGTTTCTCCTGTCCAGTGCTCTCACCCTATGTTGCTCCGCTCTCATGCGTCTCGTGCTCCGCTTCTACTGTCACCTCGTCAGTCGTTGCTTGTTGTCTCTTCGCCTCCTCGCTTTGACTTCCTCCGTGTCGCTCGTCCACTTGTTCCTTGCGTTGTCGCCTCTGTTGTTACCGACCCATCCGTTCCTGTCTCCAGTCTTAACGCTCTTGTCGCTGACTTTGCCTCTGGATTCCACTGGCGCCGAACACCAACAGTCTTCAGCCCATTCCGACGTATGTTGACATCGCTCAAGAAGAGCCGTCTGGGCATGACACTTGGTACCTGGATAGTTGCTCCAGCTCCTCCCACAATTGAGGAGCCATCACCAACTGAAGCATAGTAGCTGCAACCGACAACCCAAGCCGTCCACCGGGGAAGGCACCCTCCTTCTCTGCATTCTGTGCAAACTCCGAACTGTCCCAACGCATTGCGGGGCACAAGGCAAGTGAAGATACGTGGCATCAGTGACTCAGATATCTAGGAAACACGATGATGTACAACACCATTCGAGCAAGTGTACTCGACAAAGACGCCTTACTCCTACTCGATGGTCAAGAACTCTGAAAGTCGACAGGCAGGTGCTTCATCTACCCCAAAGCAGATTTACCACATCAGTGATATTCTATACATACCTCGCTATGAAGGATGTCTAGACTTCAGTTGCGTCATTACCTTCATCGATACTACGACACGCTGCATATGGCATCTCAACTTGCCATCACGCGATCTTGCATTTGCAACATTTGCTGCATGGCATGCAGTGACAGAATGAGAAGCTGACGTGAATTTGAAAAGCTTCCAGTCAGACGGGGCTCTGGAATGCCTGTCACATCACTTCAAGGACTACCTGGCAAAAAGGGGCATGAATAGGCTCATCTCTCTTCCCTATGCACATCAACAACAAAGAATAGCAGAAAGGATGAACAAGATGCTGCAAAAACACCATGCACAAGCTATTGCGTGGCATGCGCGTGCCCAGCTCAATGTGGCCAGAGGCGATGGACCATTCTGTGCTGCTGCACAACTTGTTGTCGTCAAGCTCGCTGCCAAACAACGCATCGCCACACCTGCTGTGGACAGGAAAGCTGGGCAACACAAAACGTTTGCCATTGTTTGGTTGTAGGGTACAGTACCGCTTGTAGAGTGCAAGAGCTGGAAGATTTTCGCATCGCGCATGGTAGGGGGTAAACCTCGGCATCGAGAATTTTTTCTATGTATGGAAGATTTTCGACATCAACGAGAAAGAAACAGTGATAGCATGTGATGTAATCTTCTACGAAAAGCTCTTCATGCAACATTATTACTTGGACAACATCGCAGCAACTCCAGATACTACTGGTGGCTTCAACGACGAACGCGCATTTGCCTTGTCAGCAGAAGAAGCGGTTTGGGATGAGTAAAATGTTCTAGGAGCTTCGAAAGTAGTTGGACATCTACCCTATTGTTCTATCCCTATCCAAATGGACGATGAGGACCCTCGCAAAATTGCCAACGCCGAGGCATATTACCACTTTACTGACAATGGTTAAGTTACCCCACAAAGAGTCAACACCAACATTTTTTTTTTTTTTTTTTTTACCCGGATTCGTACACTGCATGTCCCCGCTACACTACAAGTGGCCTTCAAGTTCTTGGCCTGGTCGTCGTCATTCACACACCATCACAACTGCCAGCAATCGAGGAGCCTACTACGGTAAAGAAGGCTCTGGAGGGGAAACACAGGGAGAAATGGAGGGAGGCAATGGACAAGGAACTCAATGTGTTGCACAACAGAAGCACTTGGAAGTTCGTCCCCATTGCCCCACCAGCAAAATGGCAGCAGACTTCTTGACCAAGAATTTGACAAACGCGAAGGTCAAGTACTGCATGCTGCTGACTGGACTACAATACGTTACCAGCGTCAATACATCGACGCTCACAGAAATGAAGGGGAGAGTTGGAAATGAGGAACTTCGAACTTAAGCATTTCGGGAGTATCGTGAATTATCCAACACACGAGTGAGGCAACATCAAGGACAAGCCAAGTCAACTATGTTACAGTACTCGTTGTTGGTTGAGACAGTCAGCTGACAATTAGGCTGAAGTAAATTCACAAAAACACTTCAGTTGAACAGTAACTGCTTGTCTAGAATAACGAGGCGCTGTGCGCTTCGGTATTACAACAGCTATAGCAACACCTAAACTTTCCTGTATGTTTTCGGTAATCACTTGCTCTCACATACTAGTACAAGGATTCGCTAAGGGCGTAATCCTATTTCTCATATATGAGGATTTGGCTATACAACATAAAACACCATATCAAGAAGTGTCGAATGTCGAGTGACACACTGGGGTTGCCCTAGAGATCCTCGGGGAAGGGCTACAGGCCTCTATGCTTGGGGGGTTATGGGTGCGCTATCCCGCTACTTATCAAGCCCTTTTAGCACAGTGGTTAATGATTGTGCTTGTGACACCGAGCGCCACATCACATCGCCGAGCTCGCGTTTGATTGGCATGAAGCAAAAGTGCATTCGTCAAAACAACACCAGACCCTGTACGAGTGCCGCGTGGAGTCGCAGCGAACCTCGGCGACGACCCGAGGTGCTCGTTAGTTCGGTATGGATTGAAAGGGGAATGGTGTGGAGGCATGTGTCAACAAATATATTCAAATAGATTAGCTAGGTCATATTTGTTTATAGCCTAGCTAATTTATTTCTTAGGGAGTACAGCCCTAGATTTGTATCCTTCGACATTTTCCCTTAGTCATTCATTCCCTCGATAACCTAACATGGTATAGTGCTAGGTAGTTTCCACATCTCACACTTCCGCTAGCGTAGAGATTTTTTTTTTTCCGCACCTCCAGCTCTCAAATTTTGCGCTTCAAAGGTTCTCCCCACCCCCCCCCCCCCCCCCCCCCACCAGCGCTCAATTGTTTTTCGTACGCCCCCTGGCCAGCCAGCCACCTCACTCCCTCCCATCGCTAGTTAGCTACTAGCTAGTAGCCGCCACCTCGCTCCCTAGCTCACCAGCGCCAACTGCGCCAGCCTGCTGCCACCTATTTTGCACCTCGCTCGTCAACTAGCCGCCAGCAGAGCTCGCCAGCTAGCCGCCATCTCGCCGCCAGTGGAGCTCGCCAGCTTGCTGCCAGCAGAGCTCGCCAGCTTGCCGCCAGCAAAGCTCGCCAACTCGCCACCAGCAAAGCTCGCCAGTGTGCCGCCAGCAGAGCTCGCCGGCTATCCGCCAACAGCTCGCCAGCTCGCCGCCAGCAGGGCTCGCCTGCTCGCCGCCAGCAAAGCTCGTCAATTCGCCGCCAGCAAAGCTCGCCAGTGCGCCGCCAGCACAGCTTGCCAGCTCGCCGCCAGCAGGGCTCGCCTGCTCGCCACCAGCAGAGCTCGCCAGCTCGTCGCCAGCCATGTCCGCAAGCTCGCCGCCAGCAGCTGCTGCCAGCTAGTCGTCAGACAGCCGCCGCCACTACAGCTGCCATTGCCACTGCTGCCGCTCCCGCTGCCGCTGCCACTGCTTGTGCTGCCGCCGCTGCCCCTGCCGCAGCCGTTGCAGCCACTGCCACTGCTGCTGCTTGCGTTGCCACTGCCGCCACTTGCACTGCCACTGCTGCCCCTTCCGCAGCCGCTGCCGCCACTGCCGCTGCTGTGGCTGCTGTGGCTGCCGCTGCCACCCCTTGCGCTGCTGCTGCCATAGCCGCTGCCGCCACTGCCGCTGCTGCCGCTGCCGCCGCCGCCGCTTGCGATGCCGCCATTGCCGCTGCCACTGCCGCTGGAGCTGCCAACTGCGGCCGCTTTTGCCACTGCTCTCGCGGCTAGCCTGCAGCTACGCGGTCGCCGCGGCCAGCCAGCGCGCCGCTGGCCTGCCGCCGTCACCACCCTGCCACCAGCTTGCAGCCGCCTCTGCCACCGGCTCCCACTGCAGCATCTGTTCCTGCTGCCCCTGTAGCAGCTGTCGCCACTGTACATGCCTCTGCCGCCTCTGTCTTCACGGCCGCAGCTGCCACCAGAGCCACTTGCATGGCGTCGCCCAGCGTCTTCGTCCTGCGCCTTGATGGGGAGGGGCGGGCAGTCGGTTTCGCCGCCTGGCAGGAGACGATTCTCCTCCAGCTCACGAGTCAGCGCATCGACGACAAGTCCCTAGACGTTCACGTCACTGGTGAGCTCCGTTTTGTCCCCCGCCCGGGCGCTCTTGCTCCTGATGCGACATCTGCACAGCAGGCTGTGCACGTTGCTGCTCGTTCCGCCTACTCTGTCTGGGCATCCCGTGACACCACTACTCGTGTCGCCATCCTCAGGTGCCTGTCGGTTGACAAGCACTCCCACTTTGTGGGTGCTGCGTCATCCTGCACCCTCTGGCTGGCTATCCTCGCTAGGTACTCCACCCCATCGTCTGCCATTCTTGGTCGTCTCTTCCTCCCTTTCTTCCACCCCGACCTGATGTCATTCACCACTGTAGCAGACTTAGTCGAGCACCTGCACTCCCTTGAGGCCCTCTAGCGTGCGGCCTGCACTGAGGCCCAACTAGCGCTCGCCCCACCTCCTCTCTTCGCCACTATTTACTTCCTTGTCACCCGCCTCCCTGACCGCCTTGCCCCTGCCCGAGACACGCTCCTAGCTCGTCACCCCTCTGAGCTCACCCTTGATCTCTTCTCTCTTTCCCTGACTGAGGTAGAGGACCGCCTCCGTGCCATCGCTGGTTCCGCTGGTGCGCCGGTAGTCCCTATCTTTCAGAACAGCTCTCCCTCCCCAGTGACAGTCCCCGCCTCCACCTCTGTAGTCAAGACTGCAGCGGCTGCCTTTGCCCCTGGCCGTTCCTCTGGCAGCAAGGGCAAGGGCAAGGGGGGCAAGGGCCATGGGGGGTTGGCAGCAGCGGGTGGAGGGGGTGCGGGGGCAGATGGAGAGGGTGGTTAGTTGCAATCGAAGACTGCGCAGCAGCAGCAGCAGCAGCAGCCGCAGCTGCTGTGGGAGCCGACGGGCTCTGGGGGTGGTGGTCGTGGTCCACCGCCTGGACGACCTCTACCATCGTCAGTTTGGCCCGCTGGTGCAGGTACCCCCCTGTTATGTCTTGCTTCGTCGTGGGGTTCCTATCTTTGATATGGATATCATTCAAATATATCATGCCTTGTATTCTCTGTATTCTGATACTTCTAGTGTTGCTGGTTCTCATTATCCTGCTATTTGCAGCCTAGGAGCAACTGCTCTGTGTAGTCTAGGATCCCCTGCGGCGTCAGGTGTAGACTCCACAGCTGCATCAGGCGTAGGACCTGTTAGAGACTCTTCACTATTCCCCACCACGTTGGCCCTCTCATTTGTCCTAGACTCTGGCGTGTCTCGTTGCTTTTTTCAAGACAATACTGCTCTCACCCTGCTTCCTGCGCCTGTCCACATCACACTAGCAGACTCCTCCACCACACCTGTCGCATGCAGCAGCACCACACTCCCTTGTCAAGCTGTCCCCTCTAGCTCCCTCACCAGTCTGCACATCCCCTCGTTTGCTAGGAACCTAGTGGGTGTCGGTCACCTCCAGGACCAAGGCGTCACCATTACATTCCTTGGCCACGGGAGGTGGCCGAGGTCGCCGCGTCCTGCTCATGTCGCTCACTAGCCCACCTCACCCTTCTGTGGCACCACCGCCTAGGTCACCCTGCACTCCAACGTCTTAGGCATATATCCCAGCACGGTCAAGTCACTGGTCTCCCTTTGTCGCTCCTCCTCGTTTCCTCCTACCACAGCGCCGCTACAGACAAGGCACATGGACATTTGTGGCCCTGCCCCGGTCCATGGTCTTATTCGGGAGCGCTACTTCCTAGTCGTCATTGACGACTTCTCGCGGTTCACCACAGTGTTCCCGTTGGAGCGGAAGGCTGACGTGCCTACCATTCTCCTTCTGTGGCTTCTTGCTGTTCGCACCCACCACTGCCTGCCAGTAGGTCGCTTACATACTGACCGTGGTGGCGAGTTCGCCTCTGGCACTCTAGGACGTTTCTGTTGTGCGGAGGGCATCCGCCAGACGTACACACTACCGGACTCCCCACAGCAGAATGGGGTTGCTGAGCGACGCATCGGCCTGATCATGGAGGTAGCCCGCATCTCCATGGTCCACGCCAGTGCACCCCTTTTTTTTTCTGTTCGCCATGCGCTACACTGCTCACCAGCTTAACCTGTAGTCGCTGGGAGCGGCTACACTCCTCTCTTCGTTGTCCTTGCCTCGCATACCGCACCCCTCCCACCCCGCCTAGCCTAGTCTGGTGCCTCCCACGCCACTCAGTTCCCCTCGGTTGGGCCCGTGGGGGAGTCGGCTGAATCTGGAGGCCCAGCTCCTGGGGGGGCGCCTGCTGTCCCTGTGGCGCCTCCCCCAGCCTTGGTACTCCATGCACCTCAGCCACCTACTCCTTTGCCTCAGCAGCAGCAGCCGTCGCTGCAGCAGACTCTGCGGCCGCAGCCGCAACAGCAGCAGGGAGTAGTGGGCTTTGGGGGTGCTGGTTCTTGGGGTGCTTGTGTTGGCAGTGTTGGTGTTGGGGGTGCTGGTGTTTTTTTTTTTTTTTTTTTTTTTTTGGAAATCATACATTATAACAAGAATTACTATGCTAGAAATCCTCAGTCGTAGCTGTGACAGGAGGGCCCCGTTACAAACGGTACCCTAATATGTTTTTACGGTGGTTGATGGATGGTGCGCGGGTCCATCCAGATGGACTGGAAATCCCCGCTCCACCTCAGCAACTTCGATCTCCCTCCGCAAATCCTGCTCATTATCTTCGCCTCGTCACCTGCCATGTGCCACCACCTCCCCTCCATCCTCTTGTATTCCTTGTCTCTTCCCATCCGCAACCTGATGTCGCTGTAGACTCTCGCATGCATATGGAAAGTCGTCGCCGCCTATCTCAACATCTTTTTGACCTGAAACCCTTCGTTCCGGAATTCTGCGTTACACCTCCCCAGCCACATACGGTACAACGTTATCGCCACGATGGAGGACTCTGAAAAACTCGACCGTGTACATCCTTCTTGAAACAGGAGATCCTCCATATATGAATTTTTCCTCGATGGGTTCATCATACAAAACGCCTTCTTTAGCGCACCAATGGCAGGCTGTATTCTGGGGCACGTGTAGAGATAGTGACTCATCGTCTCCTCCTGCTTACACTGCGAACAATGCGCCTTATCCCCCAGGAAAGCCAACCGCTTCCTGACCTGCAGATTACAACTGTGCAGCCGGAGCAGAACCTCTCGTGCCCTGCATGGGGTCACCTTCGAGTCCTGCAGCCTAATCACCCTCTTCCAGTCCACCTTCCTCCTCCAACTTTCCTCCCACACCTCCTGTTGCTTCGGCTTCTTGTTACTGACCATCACTGCTTGCTTCAATACCTTCACTGGTGCCGGTTCCTGCTCTACACACAACCCAAAGCCTCGTAAACTTGTCCTTGGGTCCCCTAGCGGTCTGATAATCCTACCGTGAACCGACTTCATCGACACCACCCGATCAGGCTCCAACTCCATCTTGCATCGCGCTTCCACTGCAGTTATCCTCCCTTCGTTATCCCTAGCGATACTCTTACACTCCAAGCGCCCCTCCCTCACCCATGTGATGCACCATAGCGAAGGTCCCGACACACCCGGGTTCACCCTACCTACTAGAATGGTCCCCGCCGCCACCTCTTCCGCCATTAGCCTCCCAAGAACCAGCCACTTCCATTCATCTGGTATCTTCTGGAGTGCCTTTTCCGCTGCCACCGCCTTCCTATCCCCGCCCAATTCCCTCGTCGTTTCCCACCTGCTTTTAAGCCTCCGTTCACCGCCCTCTAACTTCATCACCATGCTTCCCACTATTAAGCCCACAATATCCGTGTTCTCCTTCTAGCCTTCGAAGGGGCTGTTCCCCCTGAACAAAACCCTCGTATTAAAAATAAGGTGTTGCTGCTCCGTTCCCCACCACGAACCCACCTCCACATCTACTGCCTGCTTCGACCTCATGAAGACCTCAACCGCCGCTCTCCAGCGCCCACTCCCCTCCTTCCAATGCTTCAGCACTGCCGAATGAGCATACAGCGTAGCATACCCAAGCGGCAGATTAGCCGCCCTCTCTGCTAACCATCTCCACATCGGGTTCTTCTCCTGTAGAAGCACTCCTATCATTCTCAAACTGAGACTGTCCACCCTCTCCTTTGGGTGTATCACCCCCATACCCCCTTCCCTTCTTGGCAAGCACATCAAGAAGTGGCTCCACAGGATGAAGTGCCTGTCCGTCGTTGCATGCCCCCCGGAAATGAACTTGTGCCCCAGCTTCCTTATCATCTTCCAGATACTCGGCGGCGGCGGGTACACTTGTGCTTGGAACAGCGCTATCGATAAAACGTAGTTATTAAGGATCATCACTCTCGCCGACGTAGTCGAATGTGTAACCTCCCACTTCTGCAACACTTCCCTCATCCTGCCCAGTGCCCTCTCCCAGGCCGGCTCCAAGCTCCCATTCGAGGTTATCCACACGCCTAAAAGCCTCTCCGGTTCCCCCTCCCTGGCCCACTTGAACGTCTGCACCAGCGGAGGAGCCTTAGTGCGGTTACAGCCCAACGGGAGGACCACTGACCTATCCCAATTCGCCTGCAGGCCGGAGACCAACGCGAACTCCTTCAGGATCATCTCAGCCATACCTGGTTGCTCCTTCCCCTTCAGAAGCAACATTGTATCGTCCGCATAGCCCAGATATGCCAGCTTCCCTATCCCCCTCTAGCCGATACCCAGTTTCCTGCATCTGACTTCTTGGGAGAGCGTTCCACTCCGCACAAGAAA